AGTCATACGCACTGCTCCAAGAAACTTTCTTTAAAAAAATCTTATTTTCCTTAATCTTTCTTTTTTTAAGACGCATAAGATGCATCATAGGTGTGATCCCACCAATTACCCTTCCTCCACCCCCTCCCCTCCCCTTCCCCATATTCTTGGACTATAATTGGGTTATAGCTTTCATATGAAAGTTATAAATTAGTTTCATAGTAGGGCTGAGTACACTGGATATTTTTTCTTCCATTATTGAGATACTTTGCTAAGAAGAATATGTTCTAGCTCCATCCATGTAAACATGTAAGCGGTAAAGTCTCCATCTTTCTTTAAGACTGCATAATATTCCATGGTGTACATATACCATAATTTATTAATCCATTCATGGATTGATGGGCACTTGGTCTTCTTCCATGACTTAGCAATTATGAATTGGGCTGCAATAAACATTCTGGTACAAATACCTTTGTTATAGTGTGATTTTTGGTCTTCTGGATATATACCTAGTAGAGGAATTGTAGGATCAAAATGCAGGTCTATTTTTAGATCTCTAAGTGTTCTCCAAATATCTTTCCAAAAGGAACATATTAGTTTGCATTCCCACCAGCAGTGTAGAAGTGTTCCCTTTTCTCCACATCCATGCCAACATCTCTAGTTTTGGGATTTTGTGATATGGGCTAATCTTGCTATAGTTAGATGATATCTCAAAGTAGTTTGGATTTGCATTTCTCTGATGATTAGGGATGATGAGCATTTTTTCACGTCTGTAGGCCATATGCCTGTCTTCTTCAGAGAAGTTTCTCTTCAAGTCCCTTGCCTACCCTGAGATGGGATCATTTGTTCTTTTCTTGCTAATATGTTTGAGTTCTCTGTGGATTCTGATTATTAAACCTTTGTTGGAGACATAACCTACAACCATCTTCTCCCATTCTGAGGGCTGTCTGCTTGCTTTACTTACTGTGTTCTTGGCTGTGCAGAAGTTTTTTAGTTCGATCAGGTCCCAGTAGTATATTTTTGATGCTGCTTCAATTGCCCGAGGGGTCCTCCTCATAAAATATTCACCCAGGCCAATTTCTTCAAGAGTTTTCCCTGTACTTTCTTCTAGTATTTTTATAGTTTCATGTCTTAAGTTTAAATCTTTAATCCAGTGAGAGTCTATCTTAGTTAATGACGAAAGGTGTGGGTCCAGCTTCAGTCTTCTACAGGTCACCAGCCAGTTTGCCCAGCACCATTTGTTAAATAGGGAATCTTCCCCACTGAATGTTTTTAATTAGCTTGTCAAAGATCAAACAACGGTATATAGCTGGGTTCATTATTTTCCTTAATCTTAACTGTTCAAACTTCAAATTTACATTTTGGCTATCTAGTAGAAAGCCACAGAGGTTCTGCTGAATTTTTAAGCTCTAACTATTACTGCACAAGATGGAATTGCTTTAAGGCGACTACTGTGTGGGCTGCTTCTCAGTCTGTCCTATGACTTCCAACTCAGTCATAAAGAGCCCAAACTTTTTGATGAAAATACACAGTACTATAATTACTGTAACTATTATTGTCCAAATATACTTTATTAATCTTTAATTTTCATTTTATTAGCTACTAATTTGAAAGAAATTTATCATGATCATAACCATAAGGAAGAAAAATGCTTTTGTACAAATTGAAATAAAACCAAGTTCCCCTCGATTCTTCTAATATTATCTCAGCCAGTCTTCTAACTACCCTTACTTACCCCTTTCAATCATCTGTCCACTGCTACTGCTCTAAAGTGTACATAATCATGTTTTTATCTATGGCACATTTTACCGGCTTCCCATTGCCAGTGTGGGCAAACTCACACTGCGGAGCACTGTAGACAAGACAGGGTCACTCGTTCCTCTCCAGCCATGTCACTTACTCCTCCTTCCTCGACATCACTGCCCTGGCTACACAGAACTGTAGTTCTCTGAACATCCCAGGCTTTACATGTTTGGCTTTAACGTTTAGAATTTCATTCATTCTTCAAAGTTCTATTCATGTCCCATTCTGGGAAGCCTGTCTGGATTCCCTCTACTCTGGGTATCTTTCCTGTGTATTCCTGTAACAGTCTGGGTTTTTCTCCACCACAGCACACACAATGTTATTATTTGTCTGTGGTCACTCTCCACAATGCACTCCCTACAGGCAAAGTTTATATCTTATCTATGAGTCATTTAAGAGAGGCACAAAAAAGAGCTGTTGAAAAAAACAAACAGTTCAATGTACTTCCCAACTACTTCAGTTTGCAAATTACTCCATACTACTAATTCCTACTAATTCTTGCCATATATATAAGTATATTCAACATGTATTTATTTAGCACTCATAATGTGCTAGGTACAAAGGGACATTTTAATAGTGAAAAACAGGAGGGTAGCATAATTTAAACTGACAGTGAACTTAAATTAACCATCTAAATTCTAAGAAGTTAATTCACATTCCAACTTGATTTCTGTTGATGTTACAGAAATAACTCATCTTACTAATTATGCAACTTATATTATAATGTATCATAAAGAACAGGAAAACAAGGGCAATGTGACAACCTACCAGAGACACCATGGCCCAACCAGTCTTGTTGTAGATGAACTCCAAGTTGTTCCTTCTTAAATACAGCAAACCGCCAACCAGCGACACTAACAAGGCCAAGGCGATGGTGCCAGAGTAGTTGGGTGGTCTGAAAACCCGAATCTGCAAAAAGGCAACAAAAATTCTGAAAGTGAAAGAAACCTACCAAGTTATTATTTTGACTATCTTCTAGTCCTTCCAGTTTTTAACACAAAGAATTCAGAAACACGTCATCCTACTTTTTATATTTTTACTCTCTTTACAAGTAAAAAATACACACCTTAAAACACCCTGACTGAGAAATAACCTGCATACTAGGCACACTGATCAGGTAAGGGTCACATAAAACACTAAGACTTCACCACGACAGGACAGACCCACATAACGATTCTGCATATGTACCCCCTAAGCATATAAAAATTTTCAAATTTGGCTGGGTACAGCAGCTCATGATTGTAAACTCAGTGCTTTGAGAGGTAAGGCAATTGTATTACTTGAAGCCAGGAGTTTAAGACCAGACTGAACACCACAGTAAGATCCTGACTCTACAAATATTAAAAGAAAAAATCAGCCTAATTTGGTAGCATGTGTCTGTAGTCCCAGCTGCTTGGGAGGCTGAGGTACGAGGATCACTCGAGCCCAGGAATTCGAGGTTGTAGTAAGTTGTGATTGTGCCACTGCACGTTAGCCTGGGCAACAGAGCAAAACCCTGTCTCAAAACAAAGCAAAACCAAAAAAAGAAAAACTATACAAGCACACACAAATAATTTTTAATAAATAAAAAGAAGAGAGAATATGTTTCTTTATCCATTGGGCCCTATTAGGCCAACAGAGAAATCCAGCAATAAAAAACAAACATAAGCATTCTTTCTTTAAAAAAAAAAAAAAAAAGACCACATCTACAGTGCATCTTACAAGGGTACCTGTGAAAATTACTAGGTGCAGGATATAAATGTCTTAACATAATTACTAAGAAAATGTCATGAAGGCTATGTTGACCAGTTTGATGAAAGCACTTCAGATTGTGTGTAAAACTAGCACACTGTACCCCATGATTGCATTAATGTACACAGCTATGATTTAATAAAAAAAAGAAAAAAAGAAGAAACAAAAGTATTAAACACAATGGAAATATCAAAAAAAAATGTCATGGCTATGTAAAATGACTTCCCCCTCATTTTAGGTGAATACACTCAAACACATGTAAACCCTACTTTTATAACTCAACCCTGAGTTGCTCTGGTTCCACCCTACAGAAAATGGGATCATCATCTATAGTAAATGATAGGGGTAAGATGAGGGTGTAACATTTGGGACTTTTTAATAATACTATTTTTCAACAGCTTTGTTGAATTTTTTTCTATATACTACACAATTTCCCATTCAAAACATAGAGTTCGGTAGTTTTTAGTATATTCAGCGCAGATAAGTACAACCATCGCCACAAGTCAGACATTTTAATCATCTCAATCATCCAATTATGCCCTCAACCTCCTGCCCTAAGTGACTACTAATTTATCTTCTAATAGATGCTTTTACCCTGGACTTTCATATAACATATGGTCTTTTATAACTGCCTTCTTTTACTTAGCACATTTTTCTAAGCTTTATCCGTTGCAGCATGCATCAGTAATTCATTCCTTTCTATGGCTGAATTATTCTCCTTATATGGATATACCACATTGTGAGTATCCATTCATCAGTTGATGGACATTTTAGTGGTTTCCACCTTATTTGGCTATTGTGAATAATGCTCTTATAAACATTCTTATACAAGTTTTTTGAGGAACAAATTTTTTCATTTCCATTATGTAAATACCTAGGAGTAGAATGATGGGTCACATGGTTATCTGTTTAAGAAACTGTCGGACTATTTGCTCCAAAATAGCTGCATCATTTTACATCAGCACCCACCATCCTAGTAGGTTTAAAATTGTATCTTGTGATTTTAATTAGCATTTCCCTAATGACTAATAAGGCTGAGCATCTTTTCTATTTGTATACTTTCCTTACAGAAATGTATACTTAGATCCCGTGCTCATTTTTAACTGGGTTGTGTTTATTAATGAGTTGTAAGGGTCACATAAACACAGACACACACACTCGAAGTCACTTATCAGAAAAATGATTTGGAAATATTTTTCCCCTTTCTGATGCTTTCTTGATGGTGTACTTTAAAGTATAAAGCCTATTTTAATATATATGTGTGTGTGTGTGTATATATATATATGTAATTGGCATGAACTCATAATTTCTAAATTACATTCAGACCTTGGTCCAATTACATTCTTTACTAAAAGAAACTAGGGCTCCTCATAGAGATGGCTAATTGAGTGCTGGGTAGAGTAGATAGGAAGATACAAAAATGAGCCTAGAATTAATTGTTACATCAGAAAATAAGGAAGTACTTAGAAGAAAATTATGGAGGCATATCACAAAGACAAAGGAACCAGCATGAAGAGGCTGCTATGGGTCAAATCCAGAAAACGTTAGCACCAAAACAAGTGAGAACAGCAGTACATTACAATCCACTAGTGGGAAAATGTACCTTGATTCTTGTAAGAGATCAGCCTGGTGGAGACATTAAAGCAGCTCAGAAATAAACAAAGTTGATAATACTCATAGGTCCTAGGGACAGGAGGCACGCCACACCACGTAGAGCCATGTGGGAGGTAAGGCAGCAGTAGACAGGAGTGAGGGGAAGGTTTAAACCACTGCTTTTATCAAAGTTATTCTGGGAAAGGCAAAGCAAGGCAGAGTGAACAGTTTAGGACTAGTTTGAATAATTTTGGTAGACTTTGGGCTGCAGTAATCATTGTATTGCCTGGTAACTGGCCCTGATATGATTAAAGCAGAAAAATACTGCCTCCTAGGGTGTATAGACCAGACAGAGGAGGTGTGGCTCTGAACTGATTAGGTGCATCTCAAAACCATGATCCTGGCTGGGCCTGTTGTATCTTTAAGAACTGGCTTGCCAAGGAGGGTAAGTTTCTCCCTAGGCAGAATTTTTTTTAACATGCCAAAATATCATAATATACAGAAAACATAAATATATTCACAACATAAAACACAATTCATAGTCCATTCAGTAATAAACAGATGAATGATTGACAGAGCAGGACTCTGGCTCACAGCAGAAAGCTGAAGGACAACTACAAATATGGAGGAAGTGCTAGAATTGGAATCATCATGTTCAGCCATCGTGGTAAAAACTGAATCAAGCAAGAATCATCAACGGATGCTAAATCTAAGAAAAAATCTTGAAGGAACAGGGTATCCACATGATGTTAACTCCACAACTTATTAATTATAAAAGAGGAAAAAAAAACAGTAATTATACAGTGAAGACATGGGTAGACAGGTAGATATAAAACACCTTGACTAGATATTCAAACTAATATCATCAAGATATCAATATCAGATGGACAGTCTGTGCCTAAGGAAAACAAAGCATGAACTATGAGTCCTGCAGTCAAGAAGGCATAAGCAGAATTCAGTCATGAACAAACATCAAGCAAATCAAACGAGGTCCATTCTATTTAAAAAGTGGTAGAGAACTGTATTCTTCAATCTGTCAATGTCTTTTTTTTTTTGAGACAAGAGTCTCACTTTGTCACCCTCAGTAGAAGTGCTATGGCATCATAGCTCACAGCAACCTCAAACTCTTAGGCTTAAACAATTCTCTTCCCTTAATCTCCCAAGTAGCTGGGACTACAGGCCCCCACCACAATGCCCAGCTATGTTTTAGAGATGAGATCTCACTCTTGCCCAGACTGGTGTCGAACTTGTGAGCTCAGGCAGTCCACCCTCCTCAGCCTCCTAAGTGCTGGGATTACAGGTGTGAACCACCGTGCCCGGCCCCTAAACTGTCAATGTCTTTAAAGGACAAAATACAGAACATAGAATTGTTTCAGATCAGAAGAAGCTTAAAATACCTGACAACTAAATAAAATGGAAATCTAGACTTGAAGGTAGGAAAATGTTATAAAGGATATTATTAGGTCATTTGACAAAACTGTGATATGCATAGAAGTAGCTCAAAAAAGTATTGTATCGACATAAACCTGGGACCTTGGTAACTGTGATTTGCTTATGCATTTCTTAGAACATGAGATTCTCTCTAATTTTGTTCAGGCAAAAAATATTGCGGGGGTGGGAGAAAGAGAGAAGTAGAGAAACATGGAGGTAGGGGACAAAATGACAATGACAAAGCAAATGGAGTAAAATGTTAACAACAGGTGAATCCAGTCAAGGGCTTCCGCTGGCACCATTTATACTGTTTTCATTTCTATAATATTTTAAACTTGAAAATTATTTCCAAATAGAATGCATTTGTATCTATCAACTAAATGTGTAAGTGTGCTAAACAGATAGATTAGAATAATTTTTTATTAAAATTTAGTATTTCTTATAAAGAACTAAAAGGACTCTTTCAATGTTATCCTTATCTCACACATCAAATAAATGACATGTTGTATAGTAAAGTATCTGTCAAAATGTTTTTTAAAAAGACAAGAATTGGGAAATAAGTATAGTAAACAAAATATTATTAAAGCTTATGATATAATTTTATATGACATTGGTACCATGTGAAAGACAACCATGCTGACTCAGAATAAATGTGCTTACACCTTAAGGTAAAAAATAAGGCTTTGGTTTTACTTGTAGTGTGAATATACTTTCAAAGTAACTGGTTATAATATTTTACTATTGAAAATATTGGTAAGATATATGAAAATATTGGTAAGGGAGAGAGCAGCCATAAGACCTCTAACTAGGCATTAACTATCATCAACCTTTTGGTTCACATCCTTCCAGGAGGAAACTGTCTATTTCTATATACACTCACATTCATGCTTTAAAACAAAATTCTAGATTATACTATAAATATTATTTTTCTAACCTACTTTCTCCCCTGCTATACCCTAGGCTTCATTCTATGTAAAATATTCTTGCAAATCATTTTTTGGCTATGCCATAGTACATTTAATTTTTAGACATTTGATTTCTTTCCAATTTTTTCCACTAAATGAATATAATTAATAAATTTCTATGCCTAAAAATTTATATCATTCCTGATTATGTCCTTAGGCTAAATTCCTAGAAGTGGAATTGTTAAGTTAAATGACACACAATTAAAGACATGGCACACGCTGTTAGAATGGTAACAGCAATTTACAGACCCATAGCAGTAAATGCAAGTAGGTATTTTCCACATGGCTTTAAAATGGGCATTATCCTTCTGTATTTACCCAAAAGATAGATAAAAATTGTCATCTCACTTTTTAATTAGAATTTCGTGGATTACTAATAACACAGTATAATTTTCAATCCTTTTTTTAACCTCTGAAATTACTTTGTGCCTAACTCCAGTACTTTTTAATGGTATTTAAGGTATTAATGAACCACTATTCTAAAAACCATCTGAATTCTAACCAAGTTCAGCTTGTCATCGGTGGCTATCAAATGCAGTTTCTCCCTTCACAAAGAGAGATATCCATGGAGAAATAAAATATATATAATATATATTATATATATTACATCACTGTAGCCTTATTACAATGCTCTAAACAACTAATCAGTCTATTATTAAAACTGTGGGGAATAAAAACATACATGAACATCCGTTCTGTCAGCAATCCACTTTGCAAGTTGTTCAGCAGCAAATCCAATTCTTTGAAGGTCAAAAGTATCAGCTCTTTTGGGTCTGCCTTTTGGAGGAAAATGCATGAATGTAGGAGCAGAGTTCATGTTGAGCTGTAAAACATGAGATAAAAAATACTATATGTAATATTCTAACTTTATACATTATAATCTATCATTTTATGCTTTTTCTGCAAAAAGTTGGGAAAGATGGAATTATGAAAATTCAAGTGGTTTTCCAAAGTTTTATTTGCGTTTATTCATCGTAACGCACCACTAATGAAAAAGAACATGTAAAGTTGAGTAAGTTCTCTGCGCTCTCCCATTTAACATGCTCATATTATTAACTTTACTTTCTATATTTTATACCCATTTCCTTCTTGTCATTTCTAGATCTACAATTAGGGCAAAGAAAGAAGGGATAACAAGTGCAAAATGAAAATACTGCAAACTAGCAGTACATGAATTATTTCATTTCTTAAGCAGTTACTAAAGAAAAAGTACTGGAATTTGACGGAAAATAAGCATATTATACAATTCATTTCAAACAAATTATAAATAGATTGAATTCCCTATTTAAAATATACAAACTTTACTTTTTTAAATGATGATGACTACACAATAGAAACCAACATTTTTTACTCTAAACAATCTGAATTTATCAGGGACTTCGGGAGAAATCCCCAATGATCTTCCACTCAACTTCTTTATTAATTTAACTGTCTTTTAAGTTGGTTATACAAGATGGCCATAAAGTTCATGTGCAATTTTAAATAAATAGTGTATTGCACATGAACTTTATGGCCACTACATATTTCAGAAATATTTTATAAAGGTAATTTCCATTTGAAAATATACTACATAGAACAACTAGCCTAGTATAGTATAAATGGTCTTTATTATTGCTATAACATCTAAAAAACATTACTGAGGTTCATTTGCATTCAACATCAAACTACAAAAAAAAAAACATAAAGGTTAACTCTCTGCTGCCAGGAATTATTCAATTTTTGTTAAGTGGCAAGAAATGCAGGTCTAGTTTCAGCCTTTTACACATGCCTAACCGATTCTTCCAGCACCATTTATTAAATAGGGATTCTATTCCCCAGCACATGCTTTTGTTTGCTTTATCGAAGATCAGATAGTGATATGAGGCTGGTTTCATCTCTAGCTTCTCTCTTCTGTTTCATTTTCTATTTCTCGATTTTTATGCCAATACCATGCTGCTCTGATCACTATATGCTTGTAGCATAATCGGAAGTCTGGCAACATAATGCCTCCAGATTTGTTCTTATTTTGTAGAACAGCATTGGCCATTCAGGATTTTTGCCTGGTTCCATACAAAACAAAGAACTATTTTTCCAAGTTCCTCAAAGACTGACCAACAAATTCATAAACATATCATGTCTAATTATTAGAGAAATGCAAATCAAAACTACTTTGAGATATCACCTAACCTCAGTGAGAATATCCCACATCACAGATGCTGGCATGGGGGCAGAGAGAAGGGAAGTCTTCTGTGCTATTGGTGGGAACACAAATTAGTACAGCCTTTAGGGCAAAAAGTATGCAGAGTCTTCAAAGAACTAAAAATAGATGTTCCATTTGATCCTGCAATCCCATTACAAGGTATCTACCCAAGGGAAAGTCATTTTATTATAAGAACTTGCACTTGAATGTTCATAAAAGCTCAATTTACAATGGCAAAGATGGGGAAACAATCCAAGTGCCCTTCAACCCATGAATGAATCAATAAACTATGGTCTATAGATACTATCTATACCATGGAATACCATTCAGCCATAAAAAGATGTATCTTTTTTTCTAATTTGAATGGATTTGGAGAATACTCTAAGCATCACATGTGCTCAATACTCAGTTGAAACTTGTAGAATAACAACAACGTGCACACATGAGAGAAGAACTCAGATTCAAGAAGTGGGGAGGAGGATGGGAGTTTGCTAATCTCCCACCTAATGGGTACCATGTATGGGTAAATGACACACTTCCTGAGTGAAGGTCACAACAACTGGAACTTTACCTTACAAATGCAAAAAATGTAATCTAATCATATGTACCCTTACATTAATCCAAAATTTTAAAAAAGAGAAAAAAAGAAAAATAGCTCTTAGCAAAGTAAAGATCAGATCATAAACTAATGGGAGATAACAGAAGAAACACCACTTTATAAAGAGTGCTTCAACACAATATGATTTAATAACAGGACTAGTTCTCAAAAAAAGCAAAATATAAATTTATAATTTGTCATACAAATCATTAACTGTCATAACTTTTATGTATTTCTGCACTTTAAAATGAAAACTCTTATTGCTCAGGCAACGGCTAGGCTTTCAAAAAGGCAAAGCAGTCCTATACTAGGAATCCTGCTGCATCAAAACTAACCCAAGAAAACTTTTCACTTAAAAACAATCTTGACTTCAACTCTCATATCTATGCTAAACTTTAAAGAAATTTTATCTAGGGTGGCGCCTGTGGCTCAAAAGGGTAGGGTACCAGTCCCATATGCCGGAGGTGGTGGGTTCAAACCCAGCCCTGGCCAAAAAAAAAAAAAAAGAAATTATATGTAAATCACATAAAAGAATTCAACCATCATATCTAACCATGTGTCTTTATGATTATATATTGACAGCCTACAGTTAGTGCTCAACATGAAAAACGGTAAGATTAATTTATCCCACAAAGTTTTCTTGTTTTAAATCTGAATGAACTGTCAACATCTAAAGATAAAGAAATTTCATATAAAAATTCATATTTGGGCTTTTTCTTGAGAAAATGTGGCCTACACATTTCCAACAGAGCTGGAGCTGAGCTGTACCTCTCTCACTGAGGTCAAGCATGTCCCCTCCCATTTGCTACAGCCCCCACAATCAGCACTGTTTTCCCAACAATGACACCAAAGGTCAGACGCATGGTGTTTTGCCAATTTTATTTCTAACAGTAGTTAGGAACAAAGTATTCCCATTAACAATTTTTTTTTTAAAGACCAACAAACGTAGTTTCAATGAAAGCTTATTTGAAAAAGTGAAGAATATATTTAATGTAGTAAGTACTTAGTATACAGGTACTAGATATCACAAAACAAAAATAACTTATTATCGATAAAGATAACATAAAGACGCTACAATGAAACTAAACTAACCTCACTTTCTTTATTTGCTCACAGGTCTATTGGAGTAGGTATCTGGGTTAAAGACTCTAATTGTCATGTTGGATGCAAATGACTATTTGTCAGTATGACAGAGGACTCAAGTATATAATGAATAGTACTTTCACCTGATGATCTCTAAAACAAATTTTCCTGCCATTTTATAGATAACCTATAAATTTCATAAATATTTGGTTCTTACAGTGCTGCATTTTTCATTTATAAGGTTATTTTAAATTACATGTGCATATGTTTTCCTTTACTATTTTAATATTATAATTATTACTATTATACTATTGCTACTACTATTAGTTCTCTGATCGGTAAGCTGCTTATAGGAAGGAACCAAGCATGTTTTTCTTGACAATTTATTGTTCCTACAGCATAGGTAGCTCAGTACTATTTGCTAAAGGGATAAATACAAAGAAACATCTTCAATGGTAAAACAAACTTATGAGGAAGAAATAAGTGAAGAATAGTAGGAAAAGGGCATTGAAGGCAAAAAGAGAGAATTTATATTATTCAGTTAGAAACTGGCAAAGACAATCTGGAAGCAAATAAGCAAAACTGCATGAATGGCAACTTAATTAGTAGGCTCAATTCTTTAAAGGGCTACATGCTTTGTTTCCGTGCCTTGGTAGATCACTATGGCCAGAGAAAATTTCATGTTAGAATGATTAAATAGGCCAAGATACCCAAACAAATCCATGCTGGCTACTGGAATAAGTTTTGCATTTAAAAGAGTCTGATCAAGTAACAAAAATATAAGAAATTTTTAACTTCAGGGTAATGACATGAATAAGATCTAGAGCTCTGGAAGACAGAGAGCTGAGTTCAAATCCTAGCTATACATTACACTTAGTCTGTAACGTTGGACATACAACTTCCCCTCCATACCTATTTCCTCATCTACAAAACAAAGCCAACAACATCTTTCCCACTGGATGACTGAGAAGTTAAATGAAAGTATACATATGAAGTACTGAGAACAGTGCCTGGACCTTAAGCTCTTGGTGTTAGTAATGATAATGACACAACCATGATAACATCCAAGACAATTAGCATTCCTTTTTTTGTTTAGTTAAATCATAGCTGTCCACAATAATGCAATCATGGGGTATAATGTGCTGGTTTTATATACAATTTGAAATATTTTCATCAAACTGGTTAACATAGCCTTCATGGCATTTTCTTAGCTATTGTGTTAAGACATTTTTATTCTACACCTAGTAAATTTCACATGTACCCTTGTAAGATGCACCATAGGTGTGATCCCACCAATTACCCTCCCTCCACCATCCTCCTCCCCCTCCCCACCCTCTCCCCTTTCCCCTTCTTTTTGGGCTATAATTGGGTTATAGCTTTCATAAGAAAGTTATAAATTGGTTTCATAGGAGGGCTGAGTACATTGGATACTTTTTCTTCCATTCTTTAAGATACTTAAAGAAGATTAAAGAAGATTATGTTCCAGCTCCATCCATGTAAACATGTAAGAGGTAAAGTCTCCATCTTTCTTTAAGGCTGCATAATATTCCATGGTGTACATATACCACAATTTATTAATCTATTCGTGGGTCAATGGGCACTTGGGCTTCTTCCATGCCTTAGCCATTATGAATTGGGCTGCAATAAACATTCTGGTACAAATATCTTTGTTATAGTGTGATGTTTGGTCTTCTGGATATACCAGAAGACCTGGATCTACCAAGTAGAGGAACTATAGGATTGAATGGTAGGTCTATTTTTAGATCTCTAAGTGTTCTCCAAACATCTTTCCAAAACGAATGTATTAGTTTACATTCCCACCAGCAGTGTAGAAGTGTTCCCTTTTCTCCACATCCACACCAACATCTCTGGTTTTGGGAGTCTGTGATGTGGACTAATCTTACTGGAGTTAGATAATATCTCAAAGTAGTTTTGATTTGCATTTCTCTGATGATTGAGGATGATGAGCATTTTTTCATGTGTCTGTAGGCCGTGTGCCTGTCTTCTTCAGAGAAGTTTCTCTTCAAGTCCCTTGCCCACTCTGAGATGGGATCACTTGTTCTCTTCTTGCTAATACCTTTGAATTCTCTGGATTCTGGTTATTAAACCTTTGTTGGAAACATAACCTGCAAATATCTTCTTCCATTCTGAGGGCTGTCTGCTTGCTTTACTGTGTTCTTGGCTGTGCAGAAGGTTTTTAGTTTGATCAGGTTCCAGTAGTGTATATCTGATGCTGCTTCAAGTGCCTGGGGGGGCTCTTCCTCATAAAATATTTACCCAGGCCGATTTCTTCAAGAGTTTTCCCTGCACTTTCTTCTAATATTTTTATAGCTTTATATCTTAAGTTTAAATCTTTAATCCAATGAGAGTCTATCTTAGTTAATGGTGAGTCCAGTTTCAGTCTTCTTCAGGTTGCCAGCCAGTTCACCCAGCACTATTTGTTAAATAGGGAATCTTTTCCCCACTGAATGTTTTTAATTGGCTTGTCAAAGATCATATAGTGCTAAGTAGCTGGGTTCATCTCTTGGCTCTCTATTCTGTTCCATACATCTACCTCTCTGTTTTTGTGCCAGTAGCATGCTGTTTTGATCACTATGGATTTATAGTACAGTCTGAGGTCTGGTAGCATAATTCCTCCTGTTTTGTTTTTATTTCTGAGTAATGTCTTGGCTATTCAAGGTTTTTTTCTGACTCCATATAAAATGAAGTATTATTTTTTCAAGATCTTAAAGTATGACAGTGGAGCTTTAATAGGGATTGCATTAAAATTGTGTATTGCTTTGGGTAGTATGGACATTTTAACAATGTTGATTCTTCCCAACCATGAGCATGGTATGTTTTTCCATTTGTTAATATTTTCAGCTATTTCTTTTCTTAAGAGTTTCATAGTTCTCTTTATAGAGATCTTTCACGTCCTTTGTAAGGAAACTCCTAAATATTTCATCTTCTTTGGCACTATTGTGAACGGAATAGAGTCCTTTTCAGCTTGACTATTGTTGGTATATATGAAGGCTACAGATTTTTGAGTGTTGATTTTGTAACCTGATATGCTGCTGTATTCCTTGATCACTTCTAAGAGTTTTGTAGTAGAATCCCTGGTGTTTCCCAGATATACAATCATATCATCTGCAAAGAGTGAAAGTTTTACCTCTTCTGACCCTATATACATACCGTCGATTGCCTTTTCTTCCCTAATTGTGATGGCTAAGACTTCCATTACAACGTTAAAAAGCAGTGGAGACAATGGGTAACCTTGCCTGGTTCCTGATCTGAGTGGAAATGATTTCAATTTAATTCCATTCAATACAATACTGGCTGTCAGTTTGCTGTAGATGGCCTGTATCAGTTTAAGAAATGTCCCTTCTATACAAATTTTCTTAAGTGTTCAAAGAAAAGCCTGGGACCAGATGGCTTCACATCAGAATTCTGACAAACCTTTAAAGAGGAACTAGTACCTATATTACTCAACCTTTTCCAAAATATAGAAAAAGAAGCAATACTACTAAACACATTCTATGAAGCAGGAAAATACCCAACAAGAAAAGAAAATTATAGACCAATATCACTAAGGAATATTGATGCAAAAATATTCAATAAGATCCTAACAAACAGAATCCAGCAACACATCAAACAAATTATACACCATGACCAAGTGGGTTTTATCCCAGGGTCTCAAGGCTGGTTCAATACACATACATCTATAAATATAATTCATCACATAAACAAATTAAAAAACAAAGACCTTTGATTCTCTCAATTGATGCAGAAAAAGCTTTTGATAATAACTAGCATTCTTATGTCAAAATACTTGCTCTACAGAGAAGGCTATGAATGAGAGTTCATTAACCTGCTCAGGTTGACCTGACAGAAAACCCTGGACTAGGTGACTTAAACAACAGAAATGTATTTTCTCACAGTTCTGAAGCCTGGACGTCCCAGATGAGAGGACCAGCAGAGCTGGTTTGTACTGAGGCTTCTTTTCTCTGCCTTACGCCATCTTCTCACTGTATCCCCAGACAGCCTTTTACTCTGTGCAGGTGGATTTCTGGCTGAGGTCTCTGCCTCTTCTTATGAGGACATCAGTCCTACTGGATTAGGGTCCCACCCTTAATCCTGTATTTAACCTTAATTATATCCCTCAAAGCCCTATGTTCACATAAAGTCACACTCTATAGGTTATAGCTTCAACATATGAATTTAGAGGAATGTATATAATTTAGCCCATAACAGAGAGAAAACACTTTTAAAAAAATATTTAATACGAATGTAAAATTCTATGTCTACTACTTTGAAAGAAATTAAGTTCAAGTAAAACTTGCCATACATTTTATATAAAATGTCATGTATTTGTGCAAAATACCTTAACCACATAAAATTAAATATCAAAATAAGATTAATGCATGTATTCTGCCACTGCATGCTAAGAAAAAAACATTTCTTTCGTAATGCAGAAGTCAAAATGTGTTCACCATACTTACTAATGCCAAAACTATACAATGATAAAGGTAACATTAGCTGTAATTATTTTAATCACATCACAGAACCATTATAATTACTTACCGTATTTATTAACTTATTCAGTAAATTATATTTTTATTTCACAAACAAAAACATATCATCCATAAGTCACTCTGTTAAATATCACATTACCAAAATAAAACTCTTTTACCTGTTGAAAAACATCTGTCCCCTCATCATAGTCCACCATACTGAAGAAGAGTTTGTTACAAAAAGCAGATGAATAGCGCCAGGAGTTAGCCAGTATTTGATATTCTTCATTAGCTTGCCTAATGAGAATAATGGGGCAGAGTAGAGACACATCAATATTGAAGCATTGCCAAAGCACTTCAGAAAACCGATAACTGCAGGGCAAGCTTTGCCCAGTTTTTGGAGAGACTACAAGCAAACACTAGCTTTTTAATTAATGTTATTTTAAAATGGTTGTAAACAAAGAGAAAAAATTTTCCTTGATATGTGAAAATTGCATAAATTTTAAACAGTACTATTTATAAATAAAGTTTTATTGTAACACAGCCACACTGACTCATTCACATATTGTTTATGATTGTTGTTGTGCTATCAGGGCAAAAGCCAGTAGTTGTTATAGCAACTGTATAAGCCACAGGCTGGCCTACTCCTTTAAAATGTTGCCAACTCTTCTTTTAGGAATTAAAAACAATTTTTGGTATGCCCTACACATATAAATTAAATCTTAAAATAACTTGAAGTAAAAGACCAGTTTTTTAAAATATTTTCAGTTTGGTTTAACAGGGAACAAAAATCATGAAGGAAATACAAGTTTTAAAACAGTAAAGACAGTCATACAACACCTTTTTATTTTTCATTTATCTTAAAATGCATTTGCCTTCAAACCTAAAAGTAAGCAAAAATTCCTCTAAGAAGCTAAACCAGATGTCACAAATAAACCCTTCTCTAAAATGATATTCGCTCCTATTTAAAACTCACTTTTATTAGACACTTTGCTAATTTTCCAGGTGATAAAGGGTTATATTTAGGTGCAGGAGGACAGTAGAAACATGAAAATGCCACTGCTGGAAGGATGTAAACACAGCAACAGAGAGAAAAAGCAACAAGTTATTGCTAAAACATTTTTAAAAACAAACTATATGTGCCCCAAAACAGAAGAAATAAAAATGTATGGTCCCACAATTACAAACAGATTTAGAGTTAGCAACAGTTAAGAGATTACAAAGGTGTCTAAAAAAAGAGAAATCAAGTGTAAAGTTTTGACAGAGGAAGCAACGATCTCAAAGGAGGTTACAGGGCACTAGGAATCTAGAACAAAAACACAAGATTGGGAAGAGTAAATTCTGGAGATGAGGAAAGGAGCTGAAAAATAGGGGATATAACTGAACTTCTTTGTAGCCAATAGTAGGCACAAACTTCTGGCCCCTCACCACGCAGTCCCAATGTCAGCCTTTCTATCGTTTAATAACTAGTCTATTTTTAAAAAGCAAAACAAAAAGTGTACTTGAGGAAAACCTAACATGATTTTTAAAAAACTCTAAACATGTGTCTATAGGCTCCCAAGAATGGAGGAAGTATCCAGTGTACTCAGCCCTAATATGAAACCAATTTATAAACACCCACACTTCCATATGAAAGCTATAACCCAACTATGAAGGGAAAGAAAAGCTACAGCCCAAGATGAAGGGGAAAGAGAGGGAGAAGGGAGATGAGGGGGGAGGATGGGTGGAGGGAGGGTAATTGGTGGGACCCCACTATGGTGCATCTTACAAGGGTACATGTTAAATCTACTAAGTATAGAATATAAATGTCTTAACACAATAACTAAGAAAATGAGGTGAAAGCTATGTTAACCAGTCTGATGAAAGTATTTCAATTTGTACGCAAAACCAGCACATTGTACCCCATAATTGCATTAATGTACATAGCTATGATTTAATAAAAAAAAAAAAGATGTAAAAAAAACTCTAAATAAAATAGACTCCAGAAGATGGATCAAAAATGTTAAAAAGAAAATTTAACTAGTATACTTATAAAAGTCAAATAAAATACCGCACTTGGCAAGACTGTGCTTGGGCTATGGTTTTATCCTCTATCCAAGCTAAGAAGCCAGCCTTTACGGTCTCATGGATGCTACAGAAGACGTAAGACTCCTGGGTCAGAGAAAGGGCTCTGTTACTTTATTTTCCTTTATGTCAGTTCAGCAAGTCGCAAGTCCCACAGGACCCCGTGAAAAGCCCCTCATGGCCGCCTGCATACACAGCTGGCTGTGGTATAGAAGAGCAATCAGGTTGGACAACTTAAGAGTTTTGACAGGGCTAAGTCTGTGCTTTGTTCCGGGGAAAACATCTCATTCCTTAAGGCTTGTCACTTCACACACAATGCTGAGAAACTGCCCAGCTAAAGAGCAGTGAACCTTCGTATTCTCGGCGTACCCAGTGAGAACATGCAGGGATGGTCAGGGCCCAGGCATACTGCTTTCTTTTTATTTTTAAGTCAGGCCCAGGTGAGGCTTCAACTAGTGGCCCTTGGTTTGCAAGGCCAGCGTTCTAATTGCTGAGCTATGGTGCTCAGTTCATACTGCTTTCTTTAATAATAGTCACCAAAAAAGAAGAATATCTTATAAAAAAGGAAAACTGATAGAGAGAGCACTTATAAATTTAAAATATGACTGCTCAAATAAAACACCAGTTTAGAAGACAGAGTTAAATAAAACCCATAGAACAAAATGAAACAGGTGAAAATCCTGGGGGTAGAGGTTGTGGAGAGAAAGATCTAGCGATATAATTCAGTAATTACAACTTTCAAACAGGAGTGCCAGAGAGGGGAGAGAGAGAAAACAGAGGAAACGATATTTCTGGAAGCAATATAATTAAAGCAGACTAAGAATTCAAATTAAAATCGTTTCCTATGTTCTGAATAAGACGAACGTAGAAAAACCAGCATGGTAAAATTCTGTGATATTTCAGAACACTACGGACAAAAAGAAGATTCTAACAGTTTTCAGAGAGAAGAACAAGCTTCCTCAACAAGGGCAAAGAGATTGGGACTGGACTGGCCAGTGTAATGCTAGATACCAGCAGACGGTATCTAGCTAGATACCAGTTTCCTCAGAGTTTTGAAGGGATATTATTTTCTATTTAGAATTCATATTGAGACAAAATATCAATTAAATTTGAAATGAATATGTTCTCCGCTATGTAAGGAATCTAAAATTGACCTCCTACACATCGTAAGATATAATTAACAGAAAAGGTAATATGAAAGAGAAAGTAAAAACCTGAGACTGTGCTAGAAGGACTGTCAGAGAGGGAGTAAGACAACCAGAATGAGGGCAGCAGGAGCAGCAGACGCAGGAAACTGCAGCCTGAACTGTGATAAGACCAGTTCCAACTGGAACAGGAATCATATTAGACTTAAAAATGGAAAGTATAGATGCTAAGTAACGATTAGAACCAGAAAGAGATGGCAGAGTAATGACTATTCATTTGCTCCCCAACAGTAAAAAGGAACAAAGAAAAGTGAACGTAACAGGCAAGGTCCAAATAAGAAACAAATTAAAATGCATCATAATTTTGATCAATTGGTGATGAGAAAGGTTATTTTGAACATTTTCCCTAGAGTGGAGCAGGGGTCATGAACAATGGCATTGCACAAAAGGAATCAAAATCAGTAACTATTCCTCTGTAGTGGATGCTATTTTATAGGGTAATAATGTAAATGCTGTTTATTACCTTTCAACTTCCTGAATCAACCTACAGACAGAGCACAAAACACAGATGTTTTCAAGTATGACAATATGGAAATTCAGTGGAGAGAACGTGGTCGGGAAAGGGGACTAAGAAGAGGTGATGGGGAAGGCTGCACTTGCTCATCTTCAGGTCAAGAATGAGGGAATGACCACTGAGCAACGACGACACAAACTCGCCAAGCATCTGTGCTTTCACCTCTTTTAGAAAAATGCTTAGAGATTCCAGATACATGATCATAGTTAATAAATGAAAACTATAAAGATGTATTTAAACAAAAGAAGAAATACAAAGCAGTAAAAAGCATAAGGGCTAAGATGAGTTAAATTTTCATTCATCACAGCAAGAAATGCAAAGACCAAGTTCTGTGTGAAATCTTGTTATCAGAACAACATTTAGAAATACGAAAAAATATCAAAAGAAAAAAAGCAGAGAGGAGTTAACAGTGATTGTTTCTGGCACACAAGTCTGCAAACAGGTTAAGTGCAATGACCCGGGCCTGCTGTTCTTCATTAGACTCTTCTTTTCTAACGGGAAGCAGATAAGAGTGTTGTGATTAAAATACATATATTTTAAGAGTGCTAAACAGAAACAGGGCCGTAATTGGAGATCATCTAGCATTAGACCTTAAGGGATGATTCTGTCAGAACATAGTACAAAAGCGATCACTGTAATGCGAGTGTAAGACTACACTGTGCTCAGTGGGCAGAAAACTATCCAGTACATTTAACAATATTTTTAATAAAAAGTTACAAATTTTAAAGCTGCAGTAGTTAAATAAGCTTTAATCTACTGTGTTATTATTTACTGAACACCTAGTAGGAAAAAAGACAGAGTCTCCAAAATCTCTGCTTTTCATATAGTTGAAGTTTTAGTGAGGAGACTATAAACAACTAAATGAATAATAAAAAGAACTAAACACTAAGATATACTCTGAGAAAACAACAGACAAATGGCATCACAGGAGATAATGCAGAATGTACTTAGATGGTCTGGTCATAAGACGCTTCTCTGATGAAGTGACAGTAAAGCACAAATGCCAAGGACGAGAACGAGCCAGCGGAAATAACAAGCACCAAGGCCTAAAGAGAAACAGACTTAGGCTGCTGGCAAGATGAAGCTGTGGTATCAATGAGAACCCGCTCTCTGTGTACAAGAGGAACGGACACTCACACCCTCCCTCATCCCTGTGCTGCCCTGTGTCTCTGCCAATCCTACAGTCAACCAAGTTCAAACCAACGTAGGCCCTAAAATCAATTTGAGTTTAAGGAATGTAATAAGACTGGTAAGTATTCATCATTGATTTTCAAAGAAAAAAATGTGTAATAACTTCACACAGTGAATGAGCACTGACACTTAAGTGGGCTTGAACATCTGTGCATAGTAATCAACCTTAAGAGGCCAATATTGATGTAAAAAAATCATTAAGAGGATGGCATCACCATTAAGAAACTACTATATTAAACACAATTCCATTAGTGAAGTATTTCACAAAAAAGAATAGTTCTACTTTTTACATAAAACATAGGTAAATGGTAAATCAGAAAAAA